AGTTCTGCTAGGCTGGGCCGCTCTCCTTGATCTCTTACCTCCGGGCTGGATGGAGGCAGCCCCTTAAGGGAATGAAAATAGGTGGCTGAGTCCTGTCGGAAAAAGGAAGAGAGCCTGGAGTCCCTGGTTTCAGATATGTGCCCATTTGGCTGCGATGACAAAGTGGGTGGTGCAGTCTCGGTGAGGGAGCTTGGATGTGCCCAGAGGGGTGTTGGATTTGTAGCAGAGTTGCACCCCTGCCACCATCCCTTCTGCACAGAGGTTTGGAGAAGGTGGGCAGGTGGTTCAGAGAGTAGCCTTCCCAAGGACCCTGCGTCATATAAGCCCTCACCCCTTACCGTTCTTGGTTCTTGCCTCTTCTTTATTTCTCCTCATAGTATTCACTGGACCTAACGTATTATATGTTTGTTTGTTCACTGCCGTGTCTCTGGCACTTAGATCAGTAACTGGCACATATTAGGCACCTGATGCATATTTGATTAATGAATTTATTGAATGAATGAATGACTGAAAGAGTAGAGCGGGATGTCTGACCAGCTCATTCTGGTCTGGAAGGGTCCTGATTGAGAATTTTGCAACTCCCCTCCCCCCGGCCTCCCATTGACTACTAAAGAATAGAGACCCCATTCCCACATACCTAACTAGTGTTTGCTGTGTTTGAAATGGTACTTGCCTCTCAGGGAAGGACAATTTTTAGATCTCTGGGGAAATCTATAGTTATTACAAAGGCAGCAGAAGGAATTCACTTTCCCTGCCTTTGGGTATTCACCAAATCTTTCTTCCTACACGAGAGAGAGCCTGGCCTGGTTGAGTCCTGCTGTAAATCTCACCGGTGACCCACAGACAGGGCTTTCTATGCGTCTTGCTCGTTAAGACCAAACCCTCAGGCCCCACGCAGCTTCCTGCCTCCCCAGTCAGGTTCAGGCAAAAAGTTTCCATTTCGCCCACGCGAACGAATCCAGTCCCCAGCACTTACCTGTCCGAGGGGTGCTTTCTCCTCCCGCTCCCACACCAGACGGCGGACAGCTGCCTGGCTTGTTCTGGGTCCGCTGAAGGGGTGGCTCCTGTCGGCCTGCCAGGACAGACGGCAGGCCTGGGGTCGGTGCGTGCGTGCGGGGCGGGGGCTCAATTTCGGGCACCGCACATCTGGAAGGCAGAGAAAGAAACCACTACGCATGCTAGAGACTTTCTTTTCGTAATTTCTAAAATGCATTTTTTTTAACGGGCCGAGAGTTTGCCGAAAGGCACGGGGTGGTGGGAACAGCAGCGACATACGTTCCCGAGGCCCCGAAGGGGGCACTAGCAGCCTGGGCCTCGCTGGCCGGTCGGCCTGTCACCGGGGCAGTCAAAGCCACAGTGGCCGTCAGCAGGCGCTGACCCCGTCCTTGGCTCGGAGACGGGGCCCCCAGCGGGGCCTGGGTTGAACCGAGGCCCTGCAGCGCCAGGGAGACGTCGGCGGAGCCCGGTGCGAGGCCGCGACAGAGGCGAGGGCCGCCGGCCTGCGGGGGGCCACGGGGACACGAAGCGTCGTCGGCCGGAGGGAAGGACTCCGCTGCCGGCAGCGGGAACGGGACGGGATGGCGGCGGCAGGCGCGGTGGACGGCGCGGCGGCGGCGGCGGCAGGTGCAGCGAGCGCCCGCGCCGCGGACGCGGGAGGGCACCGCAGCCCCGCGTCCTCCGCCGGGAGGGACCGGGAGGGGGAGCCGAGGATGTTTGGACAAGGAGACTCTTTGAAGCTTTTCTCGCGTCCTCGCTCCTCCGGGCCCGGCCCCCTCCCCTCCATAAAGCCATTAGCTCCTGGTGCCAGCCCTATCTCGCCCCATCTCCCCGGTCCCCGCCGCTGCGTCCGCAGACCTCCCGCCCCGAGGGACCGGGCATTTGTGGGCGGGGGCGGCCTTCGCAGGCCAGGTCCGCGGGAGGGCGGCGCGGGGGCGGGGGCCGGCCGGCTGCGGGACAGGCATTTCCGAGCTGGCTCTGCATGACAAAGGGGACGGGCGGGCGTCTCCTTTGATCTGCCCCGCCGCCGCGCACCTGCCTGCTGCGCCCCTCGGCGGCCGGACCTCAAGGGGACGACCGAGGGGGATGGGGCAGGCCGCGGCCGGCTCTCCTGGATGCTGCCCAGGCCTCCGTCCTCTCCTGCGGCCCCAGGACCCAAAGCCCCCGCCGCCCCCGCCCGGAGAGCCCGGGAGCCCGAAGCGCGGGAGCGGCGCGGCGAGACGGGGCGGGCGCGTGTGCGCGGCGCTGCAGGTGCGGCCCGCGGAGG